TCTCGAAGCCTTTGGATAAGATCAGTGATTCTGCTCAGAGAGCCATCTCTGAGACAGCACATTCTGGTAATGGGGGTGGCCTGAACCGGCCAGAGGTGGCTTTGGACCAGAGCTGCCTTTTCTGAGTGTTTTCCAAATTGTTTATCGAGCTTACTGATATCATCTTGCAAACTCCTTCCCATTGACCGTCTGCAACCTGGTGTCAGCCGCACATGCAGAAACTGGGCTGTGTTGTTTAGTTTTTGGTCCCAAAAATCCACACAATTTGCATAAGCGAGTGAACAGCCGTGATCCCAACCCTGAGGCGTGGGTAGCGTCCGTTCCGACTTTCTGTGTCTCGGCAGAGAGCAGATGGTGTATAATTTAGATAAATGTGAGGCGCTGCATTTTGGAATGGCAAACCACGGCAGGGTCCTCGGGACTGTCGCTGAACAAAGAGACCTTGGGGGGGCAGGTTCATAGTTCCTTGAAAGTGGAGTCGCAGGTAGACAGGGCGGTGAAGAAGATGTTTGGTACGCTCGCCTTTATTGGTCTGTGCATTGGGTATAGGAGTTGGGAGGGTCATGTTGCAGCTGTACAGGACATTGGTTAGGGCCACTTTTGGAATACTGTGTTCAATTCTGGCCTCCCTGCTATAGGAAGGATGTTGTGAAACTTGAAAGGGTTCAGAAAAGATTTACACGGATGTTGCCAGGGTTGGAGGGTTTGAGCTAGAGGGAGAGGCTGAATAAGCTGGGGGTATTTTCCCTGGAGCGTCGGAGGCTGAGGGCATGGATAGGGTGAACAGACCAGGTCTTTTCCCCAGGGTAGGGGAGTTCAAAACTAGAGGGTCATAGGTTTAAGGTGAGAGGGGAAAGATTTAAAAGGGGCCTGAGGGGCATGTTTTTCACACAGAGGGTGGTGCGTGTATGGAACGAGCTGCCAGAGGAAGTGGTGGAGTCTGGTACAATTACAACATTTAAAAGGCATCTGGATGGGGACATGAATGGGAAGGGTTTAGAGGGATATGGGCCAAATGTTGGCAAATGGGATTGGGTTAATTTGGGATATCTGATCAGCGCGATATCTGGCAGCTCGCTCCATACACGCACCACCCTCTGTGTAAAAAGTTGCTCCTCAGGTCCCTTTTAAATCTTTCCCCTCTCACCTTAAACCTATGTCCCTCTAGTTTTGGACTCCCCCACCCTGGGAAAAAAGACTATTCACCCTACCCATGCCCCTCACGATTTTATAGACCTCTATAACGTCACCCCCTGAGCATCCTATCTTGTGCATGATTATAAAGCCACTTTGATCTACTGGTTGGAGACGATGAAAGGAATGGACGGGGTTGATGGAGGGGGGTGATTTGGTGGTCAAGGTTGGGGGGCACGAAGGGTGATGTTCGGGTCTAGTTGGTTGAGTTAGGGGGTTGTGGGTGGCACATCTTAACTGAGAGCTGGGTCATTCAGGCTAATGTCAGCTTTGCCTCATGCACAGGGGACAAACAGCAAATGCAGGGCTCTCCTTTCCTCCCTCCCTCTCTCTGAACAAACAATCCAGACCAGGACGGCATCAATGGAAAATGCCCAGCCAGTACCTGCTGGATTCCTGATGGCGGAATGGAAGGAAAGTTTCCCAGATTATTGCGGAAAGGAGGATGACAGATAAGGGGAAGGATTGGAGTGTATGGTGGGCCAGGCCAGGGGGCTGAATGGCCTCCTTCTGTTCCTATGTAACAATCTCATGGGAATGAATGGCCTCCTCCTGTTCCTGTGTTAAAGGCTCGAGGGGGGGGGGGCCGCTGAATGGCCTCCTGTTCCTGTGTGACAGTCTGAAGGATGGGGCTGAATGGCCTCCTGTTCCTGTGTGACAGTCTGAAGGACGGGGCTGAATGGCTTCCTTCTGTTGGTATGTGACAGTATCATGGGGTTGAATGGCCTCCACCTGGTGCTGTATTTGATATGCATCAATTGCAAACTGTATAATTTGTGGGAAAAACATAGCCCGACACATATAGTTTAAAAGATTAGACGGGAAAGGAAGCATTTTATAGAGTCGGGGCAATCAGGGATGAGCAGTAAACCGCAGAGAGAAGGGGAAGTGAAATGTAATGAAAACAATTTGGTTTTCCTGGAACATTCTAATTTAATTTGTGTTAGAGTCGCTGAGAATTGGGTCAAAATACACATGGCTCTCACGCATTTCATCGTGAGCAGTTTTGTTTTCACAGCGAGAGTAGCTACCGACTTCACAAAGTATTTTCCTTTCAATTGTTTTGTTTTGCTGAAAGGAGGCTCTCATTCACAGAGACGATGGTGTCTTCACATCACAGCGATGTATTCAACGGAGAGAGAGGAACATACATTGTCACATAGGAACAGGAGGCCATTCAGCGCCCCCCCTCCTCGAGCCTGTTACACAGGGACTGGAGGCCATTCAGCTCCCCCCTCCTCCAGCCTGTTACACAGGGACTGGAGGCCATTCAGCTCCCCCCTCCTCGAGGCTGTTACACAGGAACAGGAGGAGGCCATTCAGCTCCCCCCTCCTCGAGCCTTTTAGCCAGGAACAGCAGAAGGCCATTCAGCATCCCCTTCTCAGAGATAGAGAAAAGACTTTGATATTTCCAGTTGATGGCTCGGCCAAGAAACAGCCTGAGTCAGGTCCAAGGAGCTGGGCGTGCCTCAACCCCCTACGAGGCTCCCGAGGGATGGGGCACAGAAATGTACATCTACCCCAACCCCCTCCAGGGCACATGATGCCTCATGTAATTTGACACAGGGAGCAGGAGAGGGGAAACTGAGCCTGAAATACCCCCACAGAGGCTGGAACCCTGTCACCAAGTCACCCTTTATTTACACAGGGAGAGTCCCTGACACTGACCCAGCTCCCTCAGAGCCAGCTCTCAGAGTGAGCCGAACCTCTGACCCTCCTGTTTCTATCTGTCAGCCAGGGCTCCCTGATTGGACCAGATTAACAGCCTCAATTAGGGAACTCATATTCTATGAGGTCAACCTGGCTGACCTCAACCACGATACAACTGACAGTATTATTTAAAAACCGGCAGAACTTTTTTGCGTAAGATTGATGAACAAAGGTGTTCCCAGAATTTTCTCTCAGGCGTGCAGAGCACCAAGAGCAAGGGAGGTGATGTTGAGCATGTTTAAGACCTTTGTCAGGGCTCAGTTACAGTAGTGTCTACAACTATTATCTACAGCTGTACTGTGGGAAGGATGGGAACGCATTGGAGGAAGAGACAGAGAGAGAGAGTGCGGAAGTGATTTACAAGGATGAGGAACCTCAGTGATGAAGACGAATTGCAGAATTCTTCCCTCTCTGCGGAGGAGGAAGCTGAGATGAGGCCTGATAAGGGTTTTCGAAATCACGAGCAGGGGGCTGGACAGAGTTGATGGGCAAAAGCTGCTCCCATGTGTGAAAATGATGTGTGAAAGGGTGAGTTGAAGGGGAATAACATTTCCACCTAGCGAGAGGTTAGGGCGTTGGAAGTGTGTTGGAGGCAGGTACAGCTGAGGCACTGGAGAGGGGCATCAGACGGTTACTGGGATAGAAAAGGGTAAGGGGTTGACACTAGGGGATAGAACCAGTGGTAGCACGGTGGGCTGAATGGCCTCCTTCTACACCCTCACAATTCTGTACTGCTGCGATTCACACGTTGATGTTTATGGGAGCTGGCTGTGAGTAAAATGGTTGTGACATTTCCAAATTCACAGCAATGGCTACGCTTCAAGAAGCACCTCATTGGCCAAGAGGGGCTTTTTGATGACCTGAGGATGTTAAACTTAGGAAGAGGCTATGCAACCCCTCGAGCCTGTCATACAGCACGGGAACAGTCCCTTCGGTCCAACTCGGCTGTGCCGATCAGATATCCTAAATTAATGCAGTCCCATTTGCCAGCATTTGGCCCATATCTCCCTAAACCCTTACTATCCATGTCCCCATCCAGGTGCCTTTTAAATGTTGTAATTGTACCAGCCCCCACCACTTCCTCTGGCAGCTCATTCCATACACGCACCACCCTCTGTGTGAAAAAGTTGCCCCTCAGGTCCCTTTTAAATCTTTCCCCTCTCACCTTAAACCTATGCCCCTTTAGTTTTGGACTCCCCCAACCCTGGGGAAAAGACCTTGGCTATTCACCCTATCCATGCCCCTCATGATTTTATAAACCTCTATAACATCACCCCTCAGCCTCTGATACTCCAGGGAAAATAGCCCCACCCTATGCAGCCTTTCCCTGTAGCTCAAACGCTCCAACCCCAACAACATCCTTGTAAATCTTTCCTGAACCCTTTCAAGTTTCACAACATCCTTCCTAAAGCAGGGAGACCAGAATTGGCTTTTTTTCTGAAGAAGGGTCTAGGCCCGAAACGTCAGCGTTTCTGCTCCTCTGATGCTGCTTGGCCTGCTGTGTTCATCCAGCCCTGCACCTTGTTGTCTTGGATTCTCCAGCATCTGCAGTTCCTACTACCTCAGACCAGAATTGAACGCAAAAGTGGCCCTAACCAATGTCCTGTACAGCCCCAACATGACCCTCCCAACTCCTATACTCAATGCACTGACCAATAAAGGCAAACGTACCAAACACCTTCTTTGCTGTCCTATCTATCTGCAATTCCACTTTCAAGGAACTATGAACCTGCTCCCCAAGGTCTCTTCATTCAGCGACACTCCCCAGGACCTTACCATTAAGTGTATAAGTCCTGCCCTGATGTGCCTTTCCAAAATGCAGCACCTCACATTTATCTAAATTAAACGCCATCTGCCACTCCTCGGCCCATTGGCCCATCTGTCCTACCATTCAATGAGATTGTGGCTGATCTGTGGGCAATCTCCATTGGCCTATATTTCTTAATATCTTTGCTGAACAAAAATATACCTATATCATATTTAAAATTAACAACTTAACCAGCATCCACTGCTGTTTGTGAAAGAGAGCTCCAAACCTCTCCCAGCCTTTGTATGTCAAAGTGCTCCCTAACATCTCTCCTGAACTCTCTGGGCCCTCATTCCCAGACTCTGCGCTCTCGTTCTAGAATTTGGAAGGAGTTTACCTCGTCTTTTGCTGTGAATAGCTTGGAAACTTTGATCAGATCACTCCTTAACCTTCTGAATTCTAGGCCTAACTTGTATAATCTCTCCTTGTAACTTAACCCCTGAAGAGCCAGTATCATTCTAGTAAGCCTACAATGTTCTCCATCTAAGGCTGATGGCTTAGGTGCCCAGATCGGCTTGCAGTACTCTAAATGGAGTTTCACCGGGATAAAACCGAAGAACCATAGGCGCTGGAATTCTGAAACAGAGAGAGAAATTGCAGGAGAAACTCAGCAAGTCTGGCAGCATCGTTGGGGAGAGAAAGCAGAGTTAACGTTTTGGGTCCCTTGTTTTGAAGAAGGGTCGCAGGACTGGAAAGACCAACTGGTTCTCCCGCTCCACAGACGCTGCCAAACCTGCTGAGTGTCCCCAGCAATTTCTGTTTTCTGCCCAGGGTCTAAACCAAGGTTTGTTTGATGGTGCAAATTGTATGCCCCTGTCCTCCAAACAGGAAGGCTGGTGTTCTGTCTTAATAAGGCAAGAGAGAGGGGATTGCTGGGACCTTGACCAAGATCTTTGTGCCCTCATTAGCCACTGGAGAGGTCCCTGAGGACTGGCAAGTAGCTAATGTTGTTCCTCTGTTCAAGCGGAGAAATAGGGATAATCCAGGAAACTATAGACTGGTGAGTCTCACATCTGTCATTGGGAAGCTATTGGAGAGGTCTCTTAGGGATAAGATTTTACATGCATTTGGAAAAGTATGGCCTAATTAGGGACAGTCAGCGTGGCTTTGTGCAGGGCAGGATTGTCTTACTAACTTGGTTGAATTTTTCGAGGAGGTGACGAAGGTGATTGATGACGGTAAAGCAGTGGATGTTGTTTACACGGATTTTACTAAGACTTTCGGCAAGGTCCCTCATGGTAGGCTCATCCAGAAGATGAAGATGCACAGGATCCATGATGACTTGGCCGTACGGATTCAGAATTGGCTTGCACATAGAAGAGAGAGGGTAGTGGTGGAAGGGTGTTTTTCAGGCTGGAGGTCAGTCACTAGTGGTGTTCCGCAGGGATCCATACTGGGATCTCTGCTTTGCTTTTTTCAATAAATGACTTAGATGAAAATGTAGATGGGTGAGTTAGTAAGTTTGCAGACGATACAAAGATCAGTGGAGTTGTGGACAGTGTAGAAGATTGTCAAAGGATGCAGTGGGATACAAATCAGTTGCAGATACGTGCGGAGAAATGGCAGATGGAGTTTAATCCTGGTACATGTGAGGTGCTGCACTTTGGGAGATGAAATGTTCAGGAAAAATATACAGTAAGTGGCAATACTCTGAACAGCGTTGAAACACAGAGAGATCTTGGGGATCAAGTCCATAGTTCCCCGAAAGTGGTCACACCAGTAGATAAGGTGGTAAAGAAGGCGTACGGCACGGTTGCCTTTATTGGTCGGGGAATTGAGTACAAGCGTCAGGATGTCATGTTGCAGGTTTATAAGACTTTGGTTGGGCCTCACTTAGAGTATTGTGTTCATTTCTGGTCGCCACATTGCAAGAAGGACATGGAGGCTTTGGAGAGGGTGCAGAAGAGGTTTACCAGGATACTGCCTGGATTAGGGGGTATGAGCTATTATGAGAGGCTAGAAAGGTCTCGGGATATTTTCTCTGGAGGGAAGGAGGCTGAGGGGAGACTTGATAGGAGTCTGTAAAATGAAGAGATGCATAGATAGAGTTGGGGGTCAGAATCTTTTCCCCAGAGTTGAAATGTCTAATACTAGGGAAGTTGCATTTAAAGTGAGAGGGGAAAGTTTGAAGGAGATGTGAGGGGCAAGTTTTTTTACACAGAGAGTGGTAGGAGTGTGGAATGCACTGCCAGGGGTGTTACATAGAAACATAGAACTGTGCAAGATAGGAGCAGGAGGAGGCCATTCAGCCCTTCAAGCCTGGTCTTCCGTTCTTCACGATCATGGCTGATCGTCCAACTCAACAGCCTGATCCTGCTTTCTCCCCACAACCTTTGATCCCATTCCCCCTCAGTGCTGTATCTAGACGCCTCTTGAATATATTCAATGTTTTGGCATCAATTGCTTCCTGTGGTAACGAATTCCACAGGATCACCACTCTCTGGGTGAAGAAATGTCTCCTCATCTCCGTCTTCGACTGTCTACCCCGAAACCTCCTACTGTGACCCTTGGTTTTGGACACACCCACCATCGGGAGCATCCTCCCTGCATCTACCCTGTCTAGTCCTGTTAGAATTTTATAAATCTCTATGAGATCCCCCTATCATTCGTCATTGATGGAGGCAGATATGATAGGGGCATTTAAGGGGCTTTTAGATAAACACATGGATTTGCAAGGAATGGAGGGGTAGGGACCAAGGGCAGGCAGAAGAGATTCGTTTAAATTGGCATCACATTCGGCACAGCACTGTGGGCCTGTTCCTGTGCTGTGCTGTTCTGTGTTGTATTGGCTAGCATTGCGGGAATTGAGACCTGTCGGTGCAGCGGTATGGAAATGCTCCGTCCAGTGGAATGTGACAGTTCCAGTCCTTTTTTTTTAGAAAGCAGAATCCTGACACAGTCGCAGAGTTTGAGCTTTCGCACTGCTCCAGCAGGATGCGGGCGTTGCTGACAACTCCCGTCTCTGGTGTCCCTGAGAGAGGGCAGCAACTGTGAAGGCATTTCTGTGCCACTTCAAAGTCAACTGATCCTGAACTGAGGCCAAGTCTTTTGTAGTGGTCCGCGCGTGTGCCATGTTCAACTTGTGCTTGTTGTTTCTTATTACAACACTGTCGTCGGGTTTGCGGTGGGAGGGGGATGGGGGCGGGGGGTGTTGGGTTGGGGGGTCACTGCCCTGGGTGCAGGTTTTGCTGCCGGGTTGCCCCCTTTAAACTGTGCAGCTTGCCCTCAGTGCCATGTGAGAGAGCATCAACCGCAAGGTCTCTGGGGTGAAAAAAAAAGATCTTCCCTGCAATAAATGTGAGGCGCTGAATTTTGGAAAGGCAAACCAGGGCAGGACTTATACACTTAATGGTAAGGTCCTGGGGAGTGTTGCTGAACAAAGAGACCTTGGGGGGCAGGTTCATAGTTCCTTGAAAGTGGAGTCGCAGGTAGACAGGGCGGTGAAGAAGGTGTTTGGTACACTTGCATTTATTGGTCAGTGCATTGAGTATAGGGGTTGGGAGGGTCATGTTGGGGCTGTACAGGACATTGGTTAGGGCCACTTTTGGAATACTGTGTGCGATTCTGGTCTCCCTGCTATAGCAGCAGCACGATGGCTCACTGCTGCCTCACAGCGCCAGGGACCCGGGTTCAATCCCACCCTCGGGTGACTGTCTGTGTGGAGTTTGCACCTTCTCCCTGTGTCTGCGTGGGTTTCCTCCCATGGTCCAAAGATGTGCAGGTTATGGTGGATTGGCCGTGCTAAAATGCAGGGATAGGGTGGGTGTGGGTGAGATGCTCTTTGGAGTGTCAGTGTGGGCAGAAAGGCCTGCTTCCACATTGTAGGGATTCTATGATGTTGTGAAGCTTGAAAGGGTTCAGAAAAGATTTATAAGGATGTTGTCGGGGTTGGAGAGTTGAGCTATAGTGTGAGGCTGGGGCTATTTTCCCTGGAGCATCAGAGGCTGAGATAGAGGTTTATAATACCATGAAGGGCATGGATAGGGTGAATAGTCCATGTCTTTGCTTTGGGGTAGTACAGCCCAAATCTAGAGGGGCACAGGTTTAAGGTGAGAGGGGAAAGATTTAAAAGGGACCTGAGGGGCAACTTTTTCACACAGAGGGTGGTGCGTGTATGGAATGAGCTGCCAGAGGAAGTGGTGGGGGCTGGTACAATTACAACATTTAAAAGGCATCTGGATGGGGACATGGATAGGAAGGGTTTAGAGGGATATGGGCCAAATGCTGGCAAATGGGACCGGATTGATTTAGGATGTTTGGTCAGCATGGACGAGTTGGACCGAAGGGTCTGTTCCCGTGCTGTACATCTCTATGTCTCTATTTCTCTTCACCTTGTTTCTATTCTTCACTCCAGGGTCTTTTTTTCCCCAGATTTGATCCCTCATTTAGTTCAAAGCCATTTCTGCTTTTCTACTTCTGTAGCTCCCTCAGACAGCAGGTCATGTACAGCTCGGGTGTGGGCCATGCATGATAAAGATCCCCCTTCCGCAAGCCTGATGCTTACAGCCCACAAACTAGCATCTATTTCTCCCACCCAGGTCTTTGATCCATTTATAGTCTCATGCGGTTCAGGTTATAATGCAAAGACTGTTCTGCAATCTGAAAGGTAAATTGTATGAGCCGAATACTCACCAGTCAATCAATTGACCCGCGCTCGCAACTTTTGGTTATTAATCTGACTGTGGATTGGGAGGCAGGGGTTAGTTCACGGAGCTCTCCCTTTCCCTCCCTTTCCACAGGTTTTCAACACTGTCTCTCCTGGAATCTGTCAAATTTAGAAAAAGATTGAAGTACCTCCCTTCCCTCAGTTCCCTGTCTCTCGTTCGCACCAAACTCTCCGATTTACAGTAGGGAACCCACACTCTAACCACCTCCCCCCTCTTCCTGGTTACATGGCCGAGGTTTATGTAGTAGTTTAGCAAATTGGTTACTTGATTAGCTAATCTCAGCTGCTCTCCAGCAGAGAGATCTGATCATGCCTGGAAGAAAGTTAAACTTTAAGAGTCAATTTATAAGCAAATGCAAATTGCTGGCTCGCAAAAATATAAAGGACAGAGCTGAATCCTTTCGATTCACTCGGCCAGCTTGTGGGTTTACACTGTGTCATAGTGTTCTGCATTCGCTCCTTTCCCTGCCTCTTGCTCCTCTCTCTCCCTTCATCCATACCCTCCGCCCTCTATCACTCCCCCCCAACTTCCTATTCTCTCTAACCCTTCACCTCCTTTCTCTCCACTCTCCTTCCCCTCTTCTTTTCCCTCTTCCTCCTTCACCTCTCCCCTCATTTCCACT